TGGAGATTCCAAGGATTTTGGGAGTTGTATCCCAGGAAGTGAGAACAACGAGCAAATACATATTTCACAGTATCACAGATGTTAAACCTGGCAATGATGTAATCAAACTGTATTTAGGATTCGTCACTTTAAAGGAAGATGACTAACTGCGATAAAATTGGAAGTAGGGAAGCCTTGGGAGTTAAGTGAGAAATGATGGGAGAGTAAGTATGGATGTTATGGATATAGTTTTTGTTTGTTTGTTTGTTTGTTTCCTTTCTTTAATTGACTAAATTTGTGTCACATTCTGGTGGTAGGGATATAGTTTTAAAGATGAAGAAAGGGCAGATTTGAGAACTTTATAGTAGGTAAACGTGGCAAAATTTGGTCATTGCTTGGATTTAGAATAAAACATGGATGAGGATTTTTGCTTAGATAACTGGGCAGATGAAGGTGTCAATACTTGAGATAGAGAATATAGAGCAAGGATTTGGGGGTCTTGTGCTTTTAAAGAAACATAGAAATTTTAAAATGCTCCGAAAAGTACTAAAAACTATATAGTACATGCCCATGTGTCCATCACTGAGCTTCAATAATTATCAACATTTTGCCAATTTTGTTTTATCTATCCTCCTCCTTCTCTTGTTGTAGTATGTTATAGCAAGTCCTACACGTAATTCATCTGTAGATCTTTTAGGATGCTTCCCTAATAATAAGGGCTTTTTAAAGAAACAACCACAATGCTGTTATGACGCCTAACAAGATTTTATTACCTTTTTAAAAAATTTTTTTAAGACAGGGTTTCACTCCCATTGCCCAAGCTGGAGTGTAGTAACGTGATCTTGGCTCACTGAAACCTCCGCCTCCCGGGCTCAAGCAGTTCTCCTGCCTCAGCCTCCCAAGCAGCTGGGGCTGCAGGCACACATCTCCCCACCTGGCCAATTTTTTTATTTTTGGTAGAGACGGGGTTTCACATTACCCAGGCTGGTCTCAAACTCCTGGACTCAAGCAATCTGGCTGCCTTAGCCTTCCAAAGTGCTGGGATTACAGGCAGGAGCCACCATTCCTGGCCTAACACCTAAAAAGATTAATAATAATTTTTTAATATATAGATAACCAGAGAGATATATAATAACCATATATATAATAACCATTATATATATTTATAATAACCAGAGAGACAGCAGATATTTAAGGAATTTAAAATATATTTTAATATGTAAAATATATGTATATTTAACATATAATTATATATAAATATGTATATATATATTTTGAGACAGGGTCTCATTTTGCGGCCCAGGCTGGAGTGCAATGGCACAATCACGGCTTGCTGCAGCCTCAGCCTCTTAGGCTCAAGTGATCCTTCCACCACAGCCTCCTGAGTAGCTGGACTTACAGGCATGCCCCAGCATTTCTGGCTAATTAAATTTTTTACTTTTGTAGAGGTGAAGTCTCACTATGTTGTACAGGCTGGTCTTGAACTCTTTGTCTCAAGTGATCCTCCCACTTTGGCTTCTCAAGGTGCTGGAATTACAGGTGTGAGCCACTGTACCTGACCAGGAGATATTTTTGAATAAGAGTGGGTGAGATTACCTAAAGAGATGAGAAGAGAAAAGGCTCAGGAGTGAACTCTAGAGAGTACTAGCACTTAAAAGGAGCCCAAGAAAGAAGTCAGAAGTGGTAGAAATACACATAAACTGGTGTAGTAGGGTTTCAAAAGGATAGAGGTGATCAGGACTCTTAAACACAACATAGAGGTACATTGGAAAGCATCCATCGGATTTAGGAAGTAAGATGGCATTGGTAATCTTAGCAAAAGCAGTTTAAGTATAATGTTGGAGATAAATTAGAGTGGAGTAGATAAAAGAACGAATAACTGATGAGAAAAAGGAGAGGACTAGTGTAAGCTATTTTTTAAAAGAATTTAGATGAGTAAGGAAGGAGAGGTAATAGCTAGAAGACATGAGGTAAGGGTAGGAAGGTAATGGAGATGGGAAGGCTTGAGCATGTTTATAGCTGTCAGAGTACAAACTGTTGAGGGAACAATGTGGCTTATGAGCAAATGGCTAGACAATGGGATCAAAGACATAAGGAGGGTCCTAGAAAGGAAGAAATAATGGGTATCAAGGTAAGAATACATGTTTAGAAATTTGTAGCAGGAATGAGATATTACAGTTGAGGGGAATCAAACCCACTGGCCTCAGATTTCTAGGTGAAGGAGAGATGATCACTTAATAATGAGGAGGTAGAAATGGGCATTGAGTAAAAGGGCTTAAGGAAACTGGTAAAGGTTTGAAGTACTGAGGGGAATGGAAAGAGATGGTGGAAGACCATGGCAACATTAGTCAGTAGTCCTGGGCACTCAACTGTGGTTGGAGAACACAACTGTAGTGGTAACAGTCTGTATTTTTTTCTCCAGCAGTACTCAGCTCCCTGTGTGTAGAAGTAGAGAAGGTAGATTGTAGTTATTTTTTCAAGACTAGCATTTTAAACTGGGTAGATGCTGCTGAAGTTTTCCTTCAGGGTGCAGATAGTTCAACTGGCCAATACTCCATGATTCAGGTTGGATAGGGAAAGAATGGGGTTTAGGAGGGAATGCCTATGTAGGTCAAAATGAAGGAATCATAGGCCTGGAGAAGTCAGAAGTAGAAAAGCAGATTGCTAGGTGAGAGAGGATGAGAGATTTTGGTCAGAAAACAGGATATTGGAGTTTAAAGTATCAAATACAGAATAGTTCCAGATGTTCAGAGATCCGGCATGGGATCAGGTACTGAAATGGATTAGAACTAAAGGTCACTAGAATTTAGAAATTGAGAACCATGAGAGTGGATGCAGTGATTTGCTGCTTGATTGAAAAATAAATAATAAAGGACCATGAGAATATTCTGTTATAGGGCTTATCTGCATGAACATTCAACTTTTCCGGGATCATAGCAGGAGTTGGGTAGAGAAAAAGATTGTGAGCAGGTGCCAGAGTCTTCAGCAAATGTCAGGAAATTACTACAACATCAGCATATGACAGAGAAAAGGACAGTATGTTGTCTCCATCAAAGGAAAATGTGCTTTTGTTAAAAAGTACGGAAAGAGCCAATACTATAATACTATGCTTAGCCCCTGCCTGTAACTGGCCTACCCAACAGCTGCCTTCTGGGCCTTGGGGTGTAAAAGGTGTGAGAATGAGCATCTTCCACCAGAAATCAGACAGGTTTAGTTAAAGTAGTGAGGTAGAACAAGCATCCCGTGAAGAGACTGAGGATGTAGGTAACTGTTCCTAAGATCTCAGTAGAAGGGACATTACAAGTAGAAAGAGCCAGCAATAAGGATGCACATAGCAGTCTAGAAGTAGAGGTGAGATCAGCTAGGAGATGAAGTGAGGAGATGTCTTCTGTGCTGGAGAAGCACTGGTAAGTATGGTGTGGTTGGGATTCACTGGCCTCAGCCATCTTTATTTTAGTACAGAACTACTAGAATGTCCCAAAGGTTGTGGAATAGGAACATTCCTGAAAGGACAGAGGCTGCCATGAATTATGAAATGGTATGGTGGCAGTACAGCCTGGGTCTGAACAAGACTGCTGGATGGTGTGTGGTTAGGTAGTGAAGGACCAGATTTGGGAACAGATTGGACCTCAGATATCCAGAGCAGCACTGTAGAATCCGGTTGCATGTAATGATGTTTCAAAAAGGCTATCTTAGGATAGATGTGGTAGCTTACACTTGTAGGCCCAGGCCTTTGGGAGGTCAAGGTAGGCAGATCTCTTAAGCCCAGGAGTTTGAGACCAGCCTGGGCTACATGGTGAAACCCTATCTCTATAAAAAATAATAAAAAAATACCAGGTGGCATGGGCCTGTATTCCTAGCTACTCAGGAGATTGAAGTGGGTGGATTGCTTGAGCCTGGGGGAGTCAAGGCTGCAGTGAGCCATGATCATGCCACTGCACTCCAGCCTAAGTGACAGACCCCACAAAAACAACAACAACCCAAAAAAAAAAAAAACAGGGCTACCTTACTTTGGAAAAAACACATGTAGCATTGGCTGAATAAAGAAATGGAGCTTCATGATTAAGAACATTTGGAATCAGAGCGCAATACACTTTTTGTCTTGTAGCTATAACAAGAATGCGTGGCCTTGAAAATCACAGCAGCAGTGTATATTTAGTGTCTGGTAGCTGAATAGCAGTTTCTTGTGACTGAGGATGATTTTCCATGGTTCCTTTTTGTATTCTGAAATGACTAATGGAACCATCTGGGATCAGCAGATTTTAACTCCCTGAAGGCTGGAAAAGACTTACTTGGCTTTATAATTCCCCACAATGTCAGGCCCAGTGCCTTGCACTTAAGTGCTTATTGAATAAAAGAGTGATTTATGTGGAAGGTCAGTGTTCATTCTGCTTTAGCTATTTTTGTCATTCCCTTTTAACTCCTATATGGTAGTTTGTTGTGACCTTAACTTTCTTATGCTTTTTTTGTGGAGCTGCTCAATAAATATTTGACATAGGTGTTAATACCATTTTGTAGCTCATCCAGTGTCACACAGCTAGTAAGTGGTAGAGCCAAAACTCAAAATCAATTCCAGTGGATTCTGAAGGCCAGATGCTTTCTGGTATGCTAGGATTACTACCAGTGTCAGAGCTACAGGGGTGATCCTGTTTCCTGAGCATAAAGCTTTGTTTAGCCCTGTGGTCACACCCACTCATGCAAGGATGCTTCTCTTTCTCTTATGACATGAGAACCCAGATGACCTGAGAGATCAGCAGTGTTACCTCAGGCTCTGCTGCCCTGCCCAGCGTTCCTGCAGACCTTAATTACATCTGTAGAAACCCCTTCACTTTTGTCATGTAATCTAATCATGGGAGTGACATCTTGGCATATTCTGTTGGTTAAAAGCAAGTCTCATAGGTCCCAGTCACACTCAGAGGGAGTGATTACACTCCCCTTGGTGAGGATGTGGGGTCTGAACACAGGGTTAGGGGCATCTTAGAGTCTGTGTGCTATAGTTACCTTTTATATCTGTTTCATAGGGTTTTTTATCAGCAATTGAACACCCTTTCCCCAAAATGATTTTTAATCATGGAAGGAAAAAGAGAACTTGGAATTACCTTGAATTTGAAGAAGAAGAAGATAAACAATTAGCAGATTCAATGGCTTCTCTGGCATATCTAATATTTGTACAGGGCATCTGTATTGATCAGCTTCCAATGGTCTTAAGGTAAGAGTTAATGTTTGGTTTATTCATGTATTCTGAAAGTAATTTCATACAATTCTCATTTATCTAATGTCCAGTATATGCATATTAACAGACCAATATATTTTAAATAAATAATAAAGGCTATTTTTATTAAGAATGATCCCAGCTGTAATCTGTTAAAGATAGCAGTAGACAAGTAATGAAAATGGGGAGTGTTGACATAGGTGTAAGGGAATGGTGGGGACAAGAACTGGAAGATGATAAACTGGGCTTGGTTTTGAAGCCTTTGAGCCCACCCTGGAACTAGCCAGGTACCCAGAGGTATCATCATATTTTCACTGGATTACTGGTGTAAAATCCTGAGTGGATATTTATATGTCTATTTTTATTCCGTTTTAATTTAACACATTCTGAACACACCAGAAAGTGAAGCCTTAAAAGAAATCCCTTACTGAAAACCCTCCAGTGGCTTTTTATTGCTCTAAGAATAAAGTCTTAATGCCTATACATAATTTCTGAGACAAACTTATGCCTGCTCTGGTCCCTGCTTGATTGACCTGATTCATCTCCTACCACCTTTCTTCTTGTTACTATGCTCCATTAACACAGACCTTCTTTTACTTGTTTAAATATATTATGAATTTTCCTGCTATTCGGCCTTTGTATATGTTTAAAATTATCCTTTAATGTCGCTTTTTGAAGAAAGCCTTCACTCACCACCCAATTTAGGTTGAATCCTTCCATTATAATTACCTTGACCTTGTTTTCTTTTTGCATAATATTTATTAAAATTATTTTTTAAATATATAATTTTATAATGTAGTACCTTCTGGACTTGTGTTCTGTGATAACAAGGATTGTATATTTGTCTTATAGGCATTGGGTATTTGTGTCTTTGTATGAGATTGTATATTAATACATACTAATAATACAACTATAATATATATTAATATACAACTAGTATATATTAATATACAACTATATTAATATATATTAATATACTTAGTATATTTGTATGTAAATGTTTTTATATATTAATATAACTAGGGATGTATTATTTATATAGTCACATAAAGATATAAATATATATTTATATAAAGATATAAATACATGTATTTATATATTTATATTTATAATTTATAGATTTATAATATGTATTAAATATAGATTATTATATGTAGATTATAATTATATTATAAATCTATATTACAAATCTATAAATTATAAATATACATATACATATTTATATATTATGTAAAAGTGTATATTTTATAAATATATATTAATATACCTGGGAGGGTAGTTATATGTAAATGTTGCAATAATGGCTACCATTGGCATGTTCGCCATGTATGAAACATTATGCTAGTAACTTTATATGCATTATCTCATCCTTATCATAAGCCTGTGAAGTAGAGCATTCTCTCGTTTTACAGATGAAAATAACAAACTTAGACAAATTAATATACCTCTGTAGATCTAACTACTTTGTGGCGTAGATGGAATTCAGACAGCTGTCTGACCTCAGAGCCTATACTCTTAAGCATCACATTCTATCACCAAAATAACTTACACAGCACATGTGTATTAGTTTGCTAGGGCTTCTGTAAAATGTGCCACGAACTGGATGGTTAAAATAACAGAAATAGATTGTCTCATAGTTCTGAAGGCTGCTTCTGAGGGTTGTGAAGGAGAATCTTTTCCATGCCTCTCCCCTGGCTTCTGTTGATTTGCTTGCAATCTTTGATGGTCTTTGGCTTGTAGATGCATTACCTGTTCTCTGCCTTCACGTTCATATGCTGTTCTCCCTGTGTGCTTTTGTCTATCACCAGATTTCCTTATATAAGGACACCAGTCATCTTGGATTAGGGCCTACCTTAATGGTCTCACTTTAAATTGATTATAAAAACCCCTATCTCCAAATAAGGTCATATTCTGAGGTGTTAGAGGTTAGGATTCTAACATATCTTTTTTGGAGGAGATACAATTCAACCCATAACAGAACGTGTGCGTGTACATATATCTCTGTGTGTGTATATAACATAAATGTTTGTTTTGTTTCTATTTTAGCCCGTTGTACCTTTTGCAGCTTAATATGGGGCATATTGAAGTATTTTTGCAAAGGTAAGATCATTTAGATGGTATCTCAAAATGAAATGGTAGTGTTAAAATAGTCTTGTTAAGATCAGAGGAGACTACCTTCTCTTTGCTAGGCCCTAATTAATTAATTGGTTATTTTATAAAACATTGAGGCAAATAATTCACAAGAGAGAGAGAAATGAGTCAAAGAGGTTTTACACCAGTCTCTTTTATTTTAAACCTATGACAGAATTAAAATTTTGTCTTAAGGCCTTTTCCAGTCATCTGTTTCTAAGGTTTCTTCCCTTATTCCAAAAGTTGGTAAGTTAAAACACCTGTACCCCACTGTATCCTCCTCCATCTTAAGGAAGGGCAGTCAATAAAAGAAGTACATCCATATTTTTCCTTCATGGACACAATCTGTGAATTGCATCGAAAGGAGGTGTCTTGACTCCCACCTTTTATATTTTAGATTATTGACAGTGATATCATTCCAACTTTTCTCATTTGAGGTGCTAAGCAGAAGGACTTTATTTAAAAAAAAAAAAAAAAAAGCCAGGGGGGTGGCTCACGCCTGTAATCCTAGCACTTTGAGAGACCAAGGCGAAGGGATTGCTTGAGCCCAGGAGTTTGAGACCAGTCTCTTTCTCTACAAAAAATATCAGCCAGGCATGGTGGTACATGCCCGTTGTCCCAGCTACTTGGGAGGCTGAGTTGAAAGAATCACCTGGGCCTGGGAGGTTTAGGCTGCAGTGAGCAGAGATCGAACCACTGCAGTCCAGCCTGGACAGCAAAGTAAAACTCTCAAAAAAAACCCCAAAAAACAAAAACAGAAATTACAGAGTAACAGATATAATTTCTAGACAGAAATTAAAGAATTTTGCAAAACTCTTTATGCTTTGTTTTCTTACACTATAACATGTTTAAATTGTCTCCTGAGATCTGTTAGGACTTTGCAGTTACCCTCTAGGAACACTAGTGACAGCTCATAAATCCCATCTCTTCCCAAGTGAAGGAATATTTGTAGCATGGCAATGTCCAAAGCCTCAGCATACAAGGCAGGAATTTCCAAGGGTCTCCTGGCACAAGTAGTTACTAACTCTGTAAATTTGCTGTATTATGTATGTTTTAATGATTTTATATTGGTTACATTTAGTTTCTGTTATTCATACAGTGATAATATGTATTGTTTTGAATTTAAGTTCTATAATTCTTGATATTTCCAAACTGCATAGTCATTGAGCCAAAGACAATAGTTTTAAACTCCTTGCATGGTTAGAATAATTCCCTGGAGCCGAAGATATTTTTTTGCCACAGATCTTAAGTATTTAGTTAATAGTGATTACATGTTAATTAATAGTGATTATAATCCTTTTTTAAAAAAAAGTATAATCACAAGTAGAGAGCATATAATTCTTTTTTGAATAAAAACAATTGGAAAGATTTTACGGAACAATCAACTGGAATACATAGCATTGGTTATATCAGGTGTAGTTAATTTGTTAGCACTTGCTGTTGAAGAGCTATTGTTCTAAAGTCAGGAAATAACCCCTGAGTGGGTTTATTTTAGTCAGATTTAGAGGTCTTAGCCAAACTGAAAGACAGATCAAAGATAGATTAAAACTTTTGATCAAGTTTGTCAACAGAATTTCTCCTTAATGATAATGCATTTTTTAAATGTTAAAATTTCAATTTTTGCTATATTTTTCTTAAGATGAAGTGTCATTCTAAAATAGTTTACAAATTCATGATAAATTTTAATATATTTTTCAGAACAGAAGAGTCTGTTATCTCCAAAGGATTGGTAAGATGTTTGTTCCCATTATAACTTAAATACATAGTTAGGTCAACAAATAACAGCTGTTGATGTCACTATATGTGTATCTACATATTTTTTTTTTAACCTGTAGGAGCTGCTGGAGAATGGTTTATTGAGAATAGAAGACAACAGTCTACTTTACCAGTACTTAGAAATCAAGAGTTTTCTTACTGTACCTCAGGTAGATAAAATATGTATTCTAATATTGAAAATAGCCCTTTGCCTGTCCTGAACTTAAAATAAGGTCTTTTCTGATTCCTTTACCTCTCTCTTCTCTGCAACCTTTGAAAACTCTGGTGTAAAGCTGTCCAATAGAACTTTGACAGTATGAAAGCCACTATCCAAACTGAACACTTGAAATGTGGCTAATGTGACTAAGGAACTAAGTTTTACATTTAAATTTTAATTTATTTAAACATAAGTAGCTATTAGAGGCCACCATTATTGATAGCACAGCATCCAGTGGAAAAGCATAACTTTCTTCATTTAATACTTTATTTCTGTAGGGAATGAAGTTCCTTTATGTTTCTCATAACTCAAGTTCTCAGGACTCCATCTAACGCATTCACTGACTCATTACCAGAAAGACTAATACACATTTTGTTTTCCCCTCCTATGGTTTATTTTGCCTAGTACTCTTTGTTAGTTATGATATCCAAGGAAATCCTTAGATTTCAGTGTGAGAACTGGTTTTCCTAATATTTAAATAGAAAAACATGGTTTTTGTTAATATATTGTTTGTTGTTTTTAATTAATAAATTATGTTTCTGCACATTTAATTTCATTTTCTTGCCACTATAGACGTAATTGAAAATTACCATTTGCTTTCAAAAGTACGCTTTGTGACACTCCTATTTACTATCATTTAAAAAATCAATTGTAGTTAGCTTTCTGGAATGGAAGGCTTAGGGAAAAATTAATTTACTTCAATTTTAAATCTCCTACCCTCACTTCTCTGAATTTTTAGTATCCTATTGATATGTCATAGTTGTTTATTTGCAGTCAGTGTAATCTGTTTACATCTGAATTTTATATTTTTTTATTTCCAGGGCTTAGTGAAAGTAATGACACTTTGCCCGATTGAGACACTGGTATGTAAATGTTTGGTGGCTAAAGGAAAATGAGTTACAGTGAGAAAATTTGACAAATAATTTAATCTTCTTTTTAAAAATTTTTATTTGTGAAATTTTTTTCCTTTTATTTATTTCTTAATTATACTTTAAGTTTTGGGGCACATGCGCAGAACATGCAAGTTTGTTACATAGGTACATACGTGCCTCGGTGGTTTGCTGTATCTATCAACCCGTCATCTACATTAGGTATTTCTCCTAATGTTATCCCTCTCCAATCCCCTCATCCTCTGCTATCTCTCCCCTATGCCCCTCAACCCCACGACAGGCCCCAGTGTGTGATGTTCCCCTCCCTGTAACCATGTAATGTCATTGTTCAACACCCACTTATGCGTGAGAACATGTGGTGTTTGGTTTTCTGTTCCTCTGTCAGTCTGCTGAGAATGATGGTTTCCAGCTTCATCCATGTCCCTGCAAAAGACATGAACTCATCCTTTTTTTTTTTTTTTTTTTTTTAATTCTACTCTAAGTTCTGGGGTACACGTGGAGATCTTGCAGGATTGTTGCATAGGTACACACATGCCATGGTGGTTTGCTTCCTCCATCCCCCTGTCACCTACATCAGGCATTTCTCCCAATGTTATCCCTCCCCAACCTCCCCTCACCTTACTGTCCTTTCCCTAGCTCCCCACCCCACAACAGACCCTAGTGTGTGATGTTCCCCTCCCTGTGCCCATGTGTTCTCATTGTTCAACACCCACCTATGAGTGAGAACATGTGGTGCTTGGTTTTCTGTTCTTGTCAGTTTGCGAGAATGAGAACTCATCCTTTTTTATAGCTGCATATTCCATGTTGTATATGTGCTCCCACCAACAATGTAAAAGGGTTCCTGTTTTTCCACCATCCTCTCCAGCATCTGTTGTCCCCTGATTTTTTAATGATCACCATTCTAACTGGCATGAAATGGTATCTCCATGTTGTTTTGATTTGCATTTCTCTAATGACCAGTGATGATGAACTTTTTTTCATGTGCTTGTTGGCTGCATAAATGTCTTCTTTTGAAAAGTCTCTCTTCATATCCTTCGCCCACTTTTTGATGGGGTGGGTTGTTTTTTCTTGTAAATTTGTTTAAGTTCTTTGTAGATTCTGGATATTAGCCCTGTGTCAGATGGGTAGACTGCAAAGTTTTTTTCCCATTCTGTTGGTTGCCATTTCACTCTAATGATAGTTTCTTTTGCTGTGCAGAAGCTCTTTAGTTTAATTAGATCCCATATGTCACTTTTGGCTTTTGTTGTCATTGCTTTTGGTGTTTTACTCATGAAGTCCTTGCCTATTCCTATGTCCTGAATGGTATTGCCTAGGTTTTCTTCTAGGATTTTTATGGTGTTAGGTCTTATGTTTAAATCTTTAATCCATCTGGAGTTAATTTTTGTATAAGGTGTTAGGAAGGGATCCTGTTTCAGCTTTCTGCTTATGGCTAGCCAGTTTTCCTAACACCATTTATTAAATAGGGAATCCTTTTCCCATGGCTTGTTTTTGTCAGGTTTGTGAAAGATCAGATGGTTGTAGATATGTGGCATTATTTCTGAGGCCTCTGTTTTGTTCCAGTGGTCTATACCTCTGTTTTGGTACCAGTACCATGCTGTTTTGATGACTGTGGCCTTGTAGTATACTTTGAAGTCAGGTAGCATGATGCCTCCAGCTTTGTTTTTTGCTTAGGATTGTCTTGGCTATGTGGGCTCTCTTTTGGTTCCATATGAAGTTTAAGGTGGTTTTTTTCCCCAATTCTATGAAGAAAGTCAATGGTAGCTTGATGGGGATAGCATTGAATCTATAAATTACTTTGGGCACTATGGCCATTTTCATGATATTGATTCTTCCTATCCGTGAGCATGGAATATTTTTCCATCTGTTTGTGTCCTCTCTTATTTCCTTGAGCAGTGGTTTGTAGTTCTCCTTGAGGAGGTCCCTCACATCCCTTGTTAGTTTTATTCCTAGGTATTTTATTCTCTTTGTAGCAATTGTGAATGGGAGTTCACTCATGATTTGGCTCTCTGTTTGTCCGTTATTGGTGTATAGGAATGCTTGTGATTTTTGCACATTGATTTTGTATTCTGAGACTTTGCTGAAATTGTTTATCAGCTTAAGGAGACTTTTGGCTGAGATGATGGGGTCTTCTAGATAAACAGTCATGTTGTCTGCAAATAGAGACAATTTGACTTCCTCCTTTCCTAATTGAATACCCTTTATTTCTTTTTCTTGCCTGATTGCCCTGGCCAGAACTCCCAATACTGTGTTGAATAGGAGTGGTGAGCGAGGGCATCCTTGTCTTGTGCCAGTAATTTGTAAAATTTATATATATATATATATATATATTTTTTTTTTTTGCAGACATTTTTGAGACGGAGTTTCACTCATGTTACCCAGGCTGGAGTGCAATGGCGCAATCTCGGCTCACCGCAACCTCCGCCTCCTGGGTTCAGGCAATTCTCCTGCCTCAGCCTCCTGAGTAGCTGGGATTACAGGCACGCACCACCATGCCCAGCTAATTTTTTGTATTTGTAGTAGAGACGGGGTTTCACCATGTTGACCAGGATGGTCTCGATCTCTTGACCTCGTGATCCACCCGCCTCGGCCTCCCAAAGTGCTGGGATTACAGGCTTGAGCCACCGCGCCCGGCCAATTTTTATATATTTAGGAGGTACAAGTGTGGATTTTTTACATGCATAAAATGGATAGTGATGAAGTCTGGGCAGTCTTTATTCATTTTACATAATAATATTGTTTGTTCCATTTTAGAGGAAAAAGAGTTTAGCTATGCTTCAGCTATATATTAACAAGTTGGATTCACAAGGCAAATATACATTATTTAGGTATGTATCAAGCATGGTTAATTGCTAAGTGTGTAGGAGATTAAAAATCAAGTTCGTGCTATATAATTGTTCTAGGGTGTAGTATGTCGGTATGTTTTACTTGTAATTCAACTCTGGTTGGAAGCCATATTATACATTCTTAGTGATGGCTAGAGAGAGGGTTAATCAAATATTTCAGATATATACATGTATATGTTTATATTTTATATGAATAATAGTATATATTTCAGTTCAATTAATTGGAATACTCTAAATTTGAAATAGACAACAATAATTAAACTAAGATTGATCATGATAATGCTTCTAGTAGAACTTTACATATGTCACTAATCTCCATTACTCATAGTTGAAATTGATGGCTCTGGAATTACAACTTTGATAGGCTATGCACTGTGTTAATAGTAGAGCTTACTAATAGTGCTCTTTGAGGTTGAAAAGATTCTAGCAATTCTCCAAGTTAAAAATTGGTAAACTTTTTAAGTCTCTATGAAGAGCCAAATAGTAAATATAGGGTTTATGGGCTATACAGTCTCTGTTGCAGCTGCTCAACTTTGTCTTTCTATTGGGGATGGTTATGTGCCAGTAAAACTTTATTGATAAAATTGGGCAGCAGGCTGGATTTGCTAAAATGTCTCATTTGGGATTAGCCAATATTAGCCCTCTTTTCTTTTTTGGGGGGTGTAGCAGTGTGATCATGGCTCACTGCAGCCTTGACCCTTGACCTCCCAGGTTCAGGGTCCTCCCACCTTAGCCTCCCAGGTGCATGCCATCATGCCCAGCTAATTTTTTTGTGGAGACAGGGTTGTGTCATGTTGCTCAGGCTGGTCTCACACTCCTCGGCTCAAGCTATTTACTCACCTCAGCCTCCCAAAGGAGACGGCTTTGTACCATTGTTGCCCAGGCTGGTCTCACACTCCTGGGCTCAAACGATTCACGCATCTCAGCCTCCCAAAGTTTTGAGATGACACGCGTGAGCCACCATGCCCAGCCAACACTCTTGATCCTATCTTTTCTTCTTTTCTATTGCTAGTAAGAGCAAGTTTATGAAATCTCAATTCTTAGATGTTATACCAGCTTTCCTATTCTGTTCTATCTGTATCTACCAATAAATCACCTTTTTTTCTTAAGCTAGTCATATTTAGTTTTTTTGCAATTGAGCTACTCTAGCACTAGACTACTTCACAGGAAATAATTTGAGGATTTTTTTAGACTATTATGTTAGTGCCCTTTCTTGCCATGTTTAATTATTGTAACTATGTGCATAAAAATATTCATTGGTTTGATAGAAATGGCTTGTTGGAAGATCCAGTTATAAATAAGAATTTACCAGTTAGTGAGAGTAGAAACTATTACAGGTAACTTTGTAATTGGTTGATCACCTTGCTAATTACCATTACTTTGGGGTTTTTATTCTTAGAGGTAACACGTGGCCTCTTTGAATTTGTAAGACTTTTATCACCATTTAATTCTAATGCTGTCCAGGATAATTTCACATCTATTGTAAATTTACTTTCAAGGTGCTTATTGAATACTAGTCATCACTCAGGTGTGGAGGCTTTTATTATTCAAAATATCAAAAATCAAATTGACACATCATTAAAGGTAAGAACATAGCCAAAGTGTCAATTATTATTTTATTTCATAGTGTATATTTTATTTATTTATATGTAGAATACGTTAATGTGAGTTTTTGCTCTATCTCTAGTACTATTAATTAAATACTAATAAGACATTTTTTCCCCTGTTTCTACTATGTTTTAAAAACTCTGAATTCGGAAATTTTGTTAACTATAAGTTTAAATTCTTTGATCTTTCTTTTTTTTTTTTTTTTGAGACAAGGTTTTACTCCTGTCACCCAGGTTGGAGTGTAGTGTCACGATCTTGGCTGACTGCAGCCTCCACCTCCTGGGCTCAAGCAATCCTCCCATGTCAGCCTCCCAAGTAACTGGGACTACAGGCACCCACCACTGCGTCTAGCTAAATTTTGTTTTTGTAGAGATGGAGTTTCACCATGTTGCCCAGGCTTATCTCGAATTCCTGATCTCAAGTGATCCATCCACCTTGGCCTCCCAAAATGCTGGGATTATAGGTGTGAGTCACCACACTGGGCCTCTTTAAGCTGATATTATAGTTTCTTTTTGTTTTGGTATATGCTGCTGAAAAATGAATGAAAACTTAAGTCTCTTCTGTTTGTGAGTGCTCAGTAATTCTAAATGGAAAACAGTGCACCAGTGTTCTCAAGCTGGCAGGGTTTGTTCTTGGTATCTAGAAAGTGAATGAAAAATATGGAAATTAGGGTTTAAAAATGTGACTGGGTGCGGTGGCTCTCATCTGTAATCCCAATACTTTGGGAGGCCGAGGCAGGTGGATCACGAGGTCAGGAGTTTGAGACCAGCCTGGCCTACACGGCAAAACATGTCTCTATTAAAAATACAAAAATTAGCTGGGCGTGGTGGCGGGTGCCTTGCCTGTAATCCCAGCTACTGAGGCAGGAGAATCACTTGAACCCAGGAGGCAGAGGTTGCAGTGAGTCAAGATTGTGCCATTGCGCTCCATCCTGGGTGACAAGAGCAAAACTCCATCTGAAAAAAAAAAAAAAAAAAGAAATGTATTTTAAATGTGTAATTGTTTATTTTTGTAGTGTCATGGTATTAGAAAAGCACATGAATTATCAAGCTGTTATTTAAAGCCTTTCTCATTTTTCATTTGCTTTTCAGAGAACACATAACAAAAAATGGTTTACAGGACCACAGTTGATTTCCCTTCTTGATTTGGTACTCTTTCTCCCAGAGGGTGCGGAAACAGATTTACTGCAAAACTCAGATAGGTGAGGTGACCATTACTAAAATCCACATAGGAAATTCAGAATAAAATGTGAAACACCTGCTTAGGGAACCTCAAGTAATAAAATGTCTTTTCCTGTGATTTTTTGATCCATGGCTAATTCATTAAATTACATAAAGATTTTTCTTATTTAAGGGATTTGTTAATGTGTAGAAACAAAATTAAAAGCTCCTCTTTCTAGATGAATGATCAACACTATGATTTGATAGTTTTTATGTACCCAGCATTCCATAGAAATTTGCAAGGACAGTGTTTGTGCTTAAAACTAAAAATCTGTGTATATAATTTATGTGTTTAGGTTTTGTTGTTTTATTGTTTTCCAGGTCATTTTTTTCATACAGAACATATAATTTCAGTTTCAGTATATTGGAATGGATATTGAGAAATGGTTATAATCATGTAAAAAGTAATCTTAAAATTCAGAAAGCAAGAGGTGATATGCTTTCAAATATTAACAATAGCAAGAGTTTCTTTAAACAAGGATAATAATTTTCACAATTGTATGATTTGAACTTAAATAGAAAACAAGAATGATGTTATTCCTATATAAAAAGATATATTAATGGAAATAGTTTCTAATGGCACCTAATTATAAAAATATGCACAAAGTTTTAGCTTATTAATTGAGATTGCTGTTGACTATATAAAACCATACTGTAAAGTAATATATATTTTTAATTAACAGGATTATGGCTTCATTAAATTTATTGAGGTATTTGGTTATCAAAGATAATGAAAATGACAATCAAGTAAGTAAAGTATTTGAAAAGAAACTGTGAGTATATTCGAAAGGCATAAGGAATGTTTCAGATATTCTTGATCAGTACCTAAAGCCAATATTTAAACTTACCTAGCTATAAAGGCTGGGAAGAGTTGCCAACAATTATTCTGAAACCTGAAGTTAATTCCCAGGTACATTTACCCCCCAACACACCCAGCTTTCCTTTCCCTTTCCTATTGTACCTCTGCTTTCTTGCCAAAAGCACTTAGTACTGTTGGGTAGATAAGTCACAGGTTCTAAGTCAACTAACCTTGTGGAGCTCAATGTACATATGAGTGTCTTGTTCAGTTTCCTCCACCTGTAGCTCATGAGCTATATAAAATCATCTGATATTTTAATATTGCCTCATCAGACACGACAAATTGAAACATTTTCAGCACTAAAACAGAATTTGTTAATAGCACCTTTTAAATAATGGTTAGGAAGTTAGATTTTTAAAAAAATAACACATCATTAGAAGTATTTAATACATAGAAAACTATTTGAGGGAGATTTGTCATACAGTAAAATTATATTTGCTTTTTATCTTCTTTTTCTTCCCTTTTCTGGTAATTGCTTTCCCTATATATATCACCTCTATTAGCTAGAACTACCTGAATCATGTGTCATTAATTGGGTTTTTTTTTTTTTTTTAAGACGGTAGTAAAAGTAATTGATTTTTATATACAGATGCCGAAGAAATTTTTTTAATTAGGTAAATCATGATTTGGGATGAAAGTTTATGGGAAAAGTAGCAGTTTCTTTTCTTCCTGACAGATCCATAGTAGATTGAGTGATTTGACCCCATTGTTCATCCCCCTTCAGCTGAAAATAGTTAATTTGACATCATTGACTAGTGCTTACTCTATATAAGGTACTATTTTTTTTTAACACTTTCTTGTGAAAATTTTCAAATGTACAGCAAAGTTGAAAGAATTTTATAGTGATCATTGGTTTACCCACCACCTAGAGTGTATGATTCTACTGTACTTACTTCATCATGTATCTATTACTCCACCCTCTGTCCATGTCCATCACTCTTATCAGTCTTTTTTTTAAATGTATTTCAAAGTAAACTGCACACATCAGCATACTTTCTGCTAAATATTTCAGCATGTATTTCATTGAATTGATTATTTGTCTGTAGTTTTTCTGAGGTAAAATGTGCATAATGAAATGTTGAAATTTTAAGTGTATAAAATTCACTGAATTTTAACTAATTCATAGATCTATATTATCTAAACCCATGTGAATATAGAACATTTCCATCATCACAAGGCATTCCTCTTGCCCCTTCCCAGTTAATTCTGACCTCATTGGTCCACTCACCCCTGCCAGGGACAACCACTGTTCTGCCCAAGTGCTGTATATCATTTATTCTTCAGAGAGAGTCTCGTTCTCTTGCCCAGGCTGGATTACAGTGGTATAGTCATGGCTTACTGCAGCCTTGACCTCCTGGGCTCAAGAGATCCTCCTACTTCAGACTTCTAAAGTGGTAACTTCCAGACATGAGCCACCATGGCCAGCCAAGAAAAGTACTCCTTATTTTTCACTTTGCATAGATAATGCAGGTGAAAAAAAGATCATTAACTTACACAAGGGCAAACATCTAGAAAGTCGTAGAAATAGCTATGACCCCAGGCAGTGGCCAGAAGTTTCTAAATCACAAACTAAATCCTGATTCCTGAAGGAGCTTGTGATAAAAGCTATAATATAAAATTCAGCAATTGAGGCCCTGAGACTTCAGGAAGGTAGCCTTAGGGTAGGTTATGAGTTTTTACTTTTTTAGTAATCAAGAAAGGCTATACCTACTTGAGAGATTATCTGACTTGCCTGACAAAAAGAAAAGGCATCTTGTTGATTGGGATTGATAGATATGTTAGATATGGAACATAAGAGTAATACAAACACAGCAGATTGGTCTCTGCCTAGAGAGGGAAGACTTAAGAGCAGTTTTCCATTGTGTAGTGTCCACTATACTATTCACAGATAATTCCTCACTTTTGTTTGGCATGTACATTTTATGGTGAAAAAAAGGATACAGCCAGCCCATAGGACTTTTTTTTTTCCCCCAAAGAGACAGTGTCTCACTGTATTGCTCAAGCTGGGGTGCAGTGACACAGTCATGGCTCACTGCAGCCTCAAACTCCCCAGTTTAAATAATCCTCCCATGTCAGCCTCCCAAAGTGCTGCGATTACAGGCTTTTTTTTTTTTTTGAAGCAGAGTCTCACTCTGTCACTTAGGCTGGAGTGCAATGGCACGGTCTCAGCTCACTGCAATGTTCACTTCCCAGCTTCAAGCAATTCTCCTGCCTCAGCCTCCTGAGTAGCTGGGACTACAAGCAGGCACTACCACACCAGCGAATTTTTATATTTTTAGTAGAGATGGGGTTTCATCATGTTGCCCAGCTGGTCTCAAACTTCTGACCTCAAGTGATCTTCCTGCCTCCGCCTCTCAGAGTGCTGGGATTACAGGTGTTAGCCACTGTGCCCAGCCGACAGGCATTTCTTATTTAATGGATTTTAACAATTTTTCTAAGGGATCAGATATTCCAAATTATTGCTTTATAAGTTACCATAAGAATTATACCAGGGAAACTAGCAAAAATTCAGTCCAGGCCGGCAAACTGACCTCTTTTAGATGCTTGAGAGTCCGTCCATCTTGGAAACATTTCTTTCTTTTTTTTTTTTTTTTTTAAGTGCATTTTAGGTTTTGGGGTACATGTGAAGAACATGCAAGATTGTTGCATAGGTACACACGTGGCAGTGTGTTTTGCTGCCTTCTTCCCCATCACCTGTATCTGGCATTTCGCCCCATGCTATCTCTCCCCAACTCCCCACCCCCCACTGTCCCTCCCCCATTTCCCCCCAACAGACCCCAGTGTGCAGTGCTCCCCTCCCTGTGTCCATGTGTTCTCATTGTTGAACACCCGCCTATGAGTGAGAACATGCGGTGTTTGATTTTCTGCTCTTGTGTCAGTTGGCTGAGAATGATGGTTTTCAGGTTCACCCATGTCCCTATAAAGGACACGAACTCATCGTTTTTGATGGCTGCATAATATTCCATGGTGTATCTGTGCCACATTTTCCCTGTCCAGTCTATCATCAATGGGTATTTGGGTTGTTTCCAGGTCTTTGCTATTGTAAACAGTGCTGCAATGAACATTCATGTGCACGTGTCCTTATAATAGAACAATTTATAATCCTTTGGCTATATACCCAGTAACGGGATTGCTGGGTCAAATGGAATTTCTATTTCTAGGTCCTTGAGGAATCGCCACACTGTCTTCCACAATGGTTGAACTGATTTACACTCCCACCAACAGTGTAAAAGTGTTCCTATTTCTCCACATCCTCTCCAGCATCTGTTGTCTCCAGATTTTTTAATGATCGCCATTCTAACTGGCATGAGATGGTATCTCAATGTAGTTTTGATTTGCATTTCTCTGATGACCAGTGATGATGAGCATTTTTTCATATGCTTGTTGGCCTCATGTATGTCTTCTTTTGTAAAGTATCTGTTCATATCCTTTGCCCACTTTTGAATGGGCTTGTTAGTTTTTTTCTTATAAATCTGTTTTAGTTCTTTGTAAATTCTGGATATCAGCCCTTTGTCAGAGGGGTAAACTGCAAAAATTTTTTCCCATTCTGTTGGTTGCCGATTCACTCTAATGACTGTTTCTTTTGCTGTGCAGAAGCTGTGGAGTTTGATTGGTTCCCATTTGTCTATTGTGGCTTTTGTTGCCAATGCTTCTGGTGTTTTTGTCATGAAGTCCTTGCCTACACCTATGTCCTGAATGGTTTTGCCTAGATTTTCTTCTAGGGTTTTTATGGTGTTAGGTCTTATGTTTAAGTCTTTAATCCATCCGGAGTTAATTTTAGTGTAAGGTGTCAGGAAGGGGTCCAGTGTCTGCTTTCTGCACATGGCTAGCCAGTTTTCCCGACACCATTTATTAAACAGGGAATCCTTTCCCCATTGCTTGTTTTTTGTCAGGTTTGTCAAAGATCAGATGGTTATAGATGTGTTCTGTTGCTTCCGAGGCATCTGTTCTCTTCCATTGGTCTATATCTCTGTTTTGGTACCAGTACCACGCTGTTTTGATTACTGTAGCCTTCTAGTATAGTTTGAAGTCTGGTAGTGTGATGCCTCCTGCTTTGTTCTTTTTGCTTAGAATTGACTTGGCCATGCAGGCTCTCTTTTGGTTCCATATGAAGTTTAAGGTGGTTTTTTCCAGTTCTGTGAAGAAGGTCATTGGTAGCTTGATGGGGATAGCGTTGAATCTGTAAATTACTTTGGGCAGTATGGCCATTTTCACGATATTGATTCTTCCTAAACAGGAACATGGAATGTTTTTCCACCTGTTTGTTTCCTCTCTTATTCATTGAGCAGTGTCTTGTAGTTCTCCTTGAAGAGGTCCTTTATGTTCCTTGTTACTTGTATTCCTAGATATTTTATTCTCTTTGTGGCAATTGTGAATGGCAGTTTGTTCTTGATACGGTTCTCTTTAAGTCTGTTATTGGTGTATAGGAATGATTGTGATTTTTGCACATTGATTTTATATCCTGAGACTTTGCTGAAGTTGCTTATCAGTTTCAGGAGATTTTGGGCTGAGGCGATGGGGCCGTCTAGATACACAATCATGTCATCTGCAAATAAAGACAATTTGACTTCCTCCTCTCCTATTTGAATACCCTTTATTTCTTTTTCTTGCCTGATTGCTCTGGCTAGAACTGCCAGTACTATATTGAATAGGAGTGGTGAGAGAGGACATCCTTGTCTAGTGCCAGATTTCAAAGGGAATGCTTCCAGTTTTTGCCCATTCAGTATGATATTGGCTGTTGGTTTGTCGTAAATAGCTTTTATCATTTTGAGATATGTTCCATCAATACCTAGTTTATTGAGCGTTTTTAGCCTAAAGGGCTGTTGAATTTTGTCAAAGGCCTTCTCTGCATCTATTGAGATAATCATGTGGTTTTTGTCTTTGGTTC